GCTTGGGTAGAATATTCTGTGATGTCTATTAGGTCCATTTCATGTAAGATATCATTTAATTCAGATGTCTCTCTGTCTAGTCTTTTTCTGGTTGACCTATCTATTGAAGATAGTGGGGTATTGAAGTCACCTACTATTACTGAGTTGGGGTTAATCTGTGTTTTGTAGTCCTTTAGTACTGCTTTTATGAAATAGGGTGCACCAGAATTTAGTGCATATATGTTCATGATTGTAATATCTTTTTGATCAATTATTCCTTTGATTAGAATGAAGTGACCCTCTTTATCTCTTCTGATTAATTTTAAAGTCTATGTTGTTAGATATTAGAATTGCAACATTTACTTGCTTCTTAGAGACATTTGCTTGGAATGTTCTTGTTTCCATCCTTTCATCCTAAGGGTAGTGTCTATCCTTAAGTTTCTTGAAGACAATAAAAAGATGGTTTCTCTTTCTTGATCTATTCTGTTAGCCTGTGTCTTTTGACTGGGGAGTTGAGGTCATTGATATGTAGCATTATTATCAAAAGATGCATGTTGGATACTGTCATTCTAAACTTCTTTGTGTTTGTGTCCCTATTTTGTGTTTCCATTGTTATACCTTTCTTTGCTTTCTTTCTGTAGCCTCTTGGGTATACTCATTTCTATCTTTCATTCTTTGTTTAGAGTAATCTCTGTAAGGCTGGTTTGATGGGCATGGATTCTTTCAGCCTACTCATGTCATGGAAAATTTCCTGTTCCCCCTCAACTATGATAGATAGTTTTGCTGGGTAAAGTATTCAGGGTTGGCATCCATGGTCATTTGGAACTGGGAATACTTCAGTCCAGGCTCTTCTGGCTTTCATAGTTTGCATTGAAAAGTCAGCTGTAATTCTGATGGTTCTGCTTTTATATGTGACTTGTTTTTCTCTAATAGCTTTCAGGGCCCTCTCTTTCTTCTGTACATTTAATGATTTTACTGTGATATGCTGTGGGGAGTTTCTGTTCTGGTCATATCTAATTGATGTTCTGTGTGCTTTTTTAATCTGTATAGGTAAGTCCTTAATTTAGGAAAGTTTTCTTCTATAATCATGTTGAAGATCTGGTCAATGCCATTGGTCTGAGATTTCTCCTTCCTGCATGTCTGTGATGCATAGATTTTGTCTTTTCTTATTGTCCCACATTTCCTGTATATTCCATTCCTGTGTTTTAAAATTTTTTATGTAGTCTTTGCTTAAGATGTCCAGATCTTCAGCTTTGTCATCCAGTCTTGATATTCCGTTTTCCATTTCATTTGTCCTGCTTGTGAGGCTTTCTCCTGTTGTTTCCAATTGGCTTTTTGAGTTCTTCAATTCCATGTTCATTTCAGTTTTGGTTTTATTCAATATTCCTATCTCTTTTGTGAATTCACTTTTCAAGTCCTGAATTGTTTTTGATATTTCATTAAGCCACACGTTTGCATATTCTTGAGCTTCCATCACAAGTTTATGCCTTGCCTCTTTGAGTTCTTTGAGTTGTTTGTGTTTTCTTTAAGGTGTTTGATCATGTTTATGATTGTTCTTTTAAATTCTGCATCCTGGGGTTCCTCAGGATGGTTCTCATTGTAGTATACTGCTGTAGGACTAGTGGGTTTTGTTGGGAACATATTCTCTTGGGTTTTCATATTACTTGTGGTTTTGTGCTGCTGTTTGGGCATATGGATGTTCTTTGTTGGTTGTGTGTCCAGTAGGAACTTCTATTCTGCTTTTGTTTAATTGAATTTTGGTTCTGTTTATATTGTTTATGTAGCTTGGTTGCTTTTTCCTCAGGTATGAAAAATAAATTGGTGTGTGTTTCATGTTCTTTCAGGGTAGTAGGTTGTTCTGGGTCATTGGTAGGACAGGGTAGTAGATAGGCTGATAAGGGTAGTAGGAGGGCTGGGTTGTATAAGACAGATCAGAAGCCAATAGAATCTATATTAGGGAGTTTAGCTAGTGTGGGTTAGGAAGCTAGTCCAGGGATTGGATGCAAAGGAATTGCAGTGGGCCTGGGTCCGAGGCTAGCAGGGGACAGGTTGGGGTGGAGTAGATTGGAAGTTTTGAGACTGAAGAGCAGAACCTATCTTTTTTGAGGGGAGACAGTATCTTGCTATAGAGTCAAGGCTGCCCTCAAATTCATAATCTTCCTGCCTCAACCTCCTAAGTGCTGCAGTTATAGATACATGCCATCATGACAAGGCTATATCAGTAAATCTTTTTTTCTTTAAACTTTAAAAAAATATTTATTATTATTATTTATGTGTATGTGTGTGCCTCTATGGGTTTGTGCATGTGGGTGTAGGTGACTGCAGAGGCCAAAAGAGGGTGTCACATTCCCCTGGATCTGGAGTTATGGGTGGCCATAAGCCACCCAACTTGTGTGCTTGGAACTGTACTAGGGTCCTCTACAAAAATAATTTACACTCTTTGAGCCATCTCTCCAGCCCCCCTACCCAAGGTCCTTTCTTTGGTCCAGTCACAGAGTCCCATTACATTGTGAGGAATCATGTTTCCAAGCTGGGACTGGAGCATTTTGGGGGGGGGGGTCCTTGCTCTGCCTATACCACATCCTGAAGTTTTAGAGCTCAAAGACTAGAACCAGGATCTGCTCCTGAACCTTTGTCCTTAACTGTTCTGCTGTTGGCTGAGATGTCTCAATGAAAAATGTTCCTTAGATGTCTCAATGAGAAACGTTCCTTAAGTCATAGTGGAAAAAAAAAAAAAGTGGAACTAGAATTTAAAGTATTTTGGAAAAACATGGGAGATTTTCTTATAGAAGAGAAAAAATAAAAACATGGTGACAGACACCGCCCTTGTCTGGCAAAATGAGACCCACACAGGTCAGGTCTTATTTTAGGGAGAGCACATATGGAAGATAACATGTTCTAAACTACAAAATAAAAAAAGAACAAAAAAATGCACCACCACCACCCCCCTTTGGCCGAATGAAAGAGATGCAAACAGGTAAAGTTTACACAGCTTACAAAAGGAGTGGCCTGGCAGCAGTATCTCAGAGTCCAACAGATATGAGTTGGTTAAAAAATCTCTTTCAAAGTATGAGGGGCTGTGAAGGGGCTGTGAGATGGCTTAAAAGAGTAAGGCACTTACTGTAAACCTGAAGTCCTGTCTTTGATCCCCTGGACCCATATGATGAATGTGTGTATCTGTGGGTATGTGCATATGGGTAGAGAGAATCAACTCCAGAAAGCTGTTCTCTGACTTCCACACATTCTCCTTATTTCTCTCTCTCTCTCTCTCTCTCTCTCTCTCTCTCTCTCTCTCTCTCTCTCTCTTTCTCTTGTGACCTCTACCGCCACATACACACTAAATTAAATGTAAAAGAAGAGTTGTTTTTTTTTTTTTTTAAGAATAAGGAGCTGGGGCTGGAGAGATGGCTCAGCGGTTAAGAACACTGACTGTTCTTGCAGAAGACCCAGGTTCTAATCCCAGCACTCACATGGCAGCTAACAACTCTGGTTCCAGGGGATCTGACAGCCTCTTCTGTCCTCTGTGGGCACTGAATGACACAGGTGCACTTACCTACATGCAGGTATAACACTCGTACACATAAAATAAAAATAGTAAATAAATTTTTTTTAAAAAAAAGAATAAGGAGCCAGCAAAATAGCTCAGTGATTAAAATTGTTTGCCGTGGAAGCCTGAGCCCCAAGTTCAGTCCCCAGAACCCACATAAGAAAAAAAGAAAAGCCATGAAGTGGCTCATACCTGTAATCCCAGCATTCCTTGGTGACATGAGGCAGGAGAATATGCTGGAAATTCACAGGCCGGCTAGCCTGGAGTCCTGGTATGGCAGAAAGTACAAGAGAGACCCTGCTTCAACAACGTGGAAAGAGAGAACCAGTTCCCTAAAGTTGTCCTCTGACCTCCACATGCATGCCATAGCTGCAGGCCAAACACATTTTTAATAAAAAATACTGAAAAAAAAAATTTAAAGGGTAAGATCTGACATTGGGAAAAAAATAAAAAGTCCAGCTGTTTATTCTGTTAATAAGAAACATACTTAGGCTGGGTATGGTGGCACATGTCTTTAGTCCCAGCACTTGGGAGGCAGAGGCAGGCAGATCTCTGTGAGATCAAGGCCATCCTGGTCTATATAACAAGTTCCAGGCAAGCTGGGGCTGCAGGGACACCTTGCCTCAAAATAAATTAATAGGTAAATACAATAAAAATAATAAAAATAAAAATAAGAAATGTACTTGAAATAAAATGATAAAAAGGCAAAAAAGAATAGAAAACTTTTCTAGCTCTCTTTTACTGAACCATCACAAACTGGTTAACTGAAATCAGAGATGGATTCTCACAGAAGTCTAAAATCAGTTCCACTGAAGGCTGTGTTCCCTGGATCCTGGTGGACTCTTCTTTGTCTCTTCCCATCCCCAGTCCCCAGTGCTGCTGGCCATTGTTGGCATCCCTGGGCATGCAGCTGTACCAATCCAGTCTCAGTCTCTTGTCACATGGCCTTCCACGGTCCTGTCTGTGCCCACATTTCTTCCCTGTCACGTTTGGCCTCATTTTCATTTGATTTCATCTGCAAAGATCCCATTTCCTGGTAGGTCACATGCACTGGTACTGGGAACCAGAATTCTAGTGTACCTTCCCTGATAAGATCGCCTTCATTGGTACCAGAACTTCAGCATGTCTTTTGAGGGAACACAGTTCAATACATAATAGGGACCTCTGAAGAAAGATAGGGAGCTGAGTCTGGATTGTTTTCTCCAACTATCTGGTGAAATGAGATTTTCATTTTAATTTTTTGAGATAGGCTGGCCTGAAATTTAGTATATATCTGAGGATGACCTTGAATTGGTCATCCTCCTCCTTCTACCTCCCAAATGCTGAGATTATAGGTTTGTACCACCATTCCCAGTTTTATGTGGTGCAGGGGATCAAACCAAACCTTTTCAGGAATGCTGATGCTAATGTGCATTGAAGAATCACTGAAATTTGGGATTGCCTCAAAAAAAGGTACCCTGTTTCTTTTTTCCAGGGCCTGGAAGTTTACACTGCAGGATTCCAGAACGAACACAGTAAGTTGTGCATGGTGGTCTCTGGTACTGTTTGTGCATCCTGGGTCTGTGTAACAAACTAGAGAACAGGTGGGGATGCAGAAGCAAGAGGGCTCTCTTCTCCATGCTGTGCTTCAGGAGCAGAGCTGTGCAGGATGCCTCTCAAGGACAGTGATCAGACCAGGTTTTGCCAGATGTTTTGGCAGGGGCTATCTGTTTTGGTTTGAGATGTCCCCCATAGGTTCACTTGTTTGAGTACTTGGACCCCAGCTGGTGGTGGTGTTTGAGAAGGTTATGGAACCTTTAGAAAGTTGAGCCTTTCTGGAGGAAGTGGGTCACTGGGGGTGGGCCTTGAGGTCTTTTAGTCTGCCCCAACTTCCTGTTTACTCTCTGCTTCCTGAATGTGGCTGCACTGTGACCAGCTGCCTCCTGCTCCTGCCACACCTCCCCTGCCTGTTGCCATACCTTCCCCCCATGATGGTCTATATCCCTCTAAAACCATGAGCCAAAACAAGCCCTTTCTCCCTTGAGTTGCTTTTGTCAGGGTATTTTATCACAGCAGTGAGAGGTAACTAAGACAGCACTCTACTCACCCAGGCACAGTAGTTCAGTGCTGTCTAGAGTTGTTCATTTTTCTCCAGGTTCGCAACACCTTCAATTATGCTGTAGTTTGAATTAAAGGCTTAAAGAGAGCCATGGTGCCCCATTTATACATAAGACTTCAGCCCCAAGAAACCTTGGCATACTTCATCCCTGTACTAATCTGGTTTCTGACCTCAGGAGGAACAGAGATTGTAAACCGTGTTGTAAACCTGGTGGTTCGTTCTTCCATCTGAGACCTCTTCAGTTGGCGTTTTCATTCTTAGATGGGGCCATGAGCACTCTGCTCTAGCTGGGGACAGATCCAGGACAGGTCACCTCACTGCTGAACTCAGAGGGCTTATAAAATGAGGCTGGATACCCCCACTGGGCCAACAGATGTTGCCGCTGCTCACCCAGCTGAGCTTTTAGTCCTTTAATCATGTTATTTGCTAAGTAAAAGTTCTGGCTGATTTCAGCGCTCTTCTCTTTCCCATTCCCACAGGCTTATGTTGGTTCAGCAATCTTGTCTGATGAGACTGCAGTAGCTGCCTCGCCGCCTCCCTACGCGGCCTATGCTGCCCCGACTCCCGAGGTAGGATGCAGTTCTGAGCAGGAGAGCTTCTGAAGTGAGGGGAGCTTCTGGGTAAGAGGAGCTGAGGGTACCCATTTCCCCTTGTTTCTTTTGTTTTCTTTTTGGTTGTGCTTTTGTTTTTAATTTTGAGCCAATATCAGAGAAGTTAGAAATGTACCCCAAACCTTTTTAGAACATTATTCTTTATCCTCTTTGCTTTTATGAAATAAAGCAGCAATTGGGGCTAGAGATGTAGCTCACTTGGTAGAGTATTTGTCAAGCATACAGGAGGCTGTGCGTTCAGTTGCAAGCACTGCATAAACCAGGGGTGAGATACCTGAAACCTGAAATCTTTCCAGCCCTAACTACTACTACTACTACTACTACTACTTCTTCTTCTTCTTCTTCTTCTTCTTCTTCTTCTTCTTCTTCTTCTTCTTCTTCTTCTTC